AAAAGAAGGCGACTTCATCCTGCGCTATCCTCGGCTTTATATCCCTACTACTCCTTCCGTCCTGACTTATCTGACTTCCTAGATACCTGAAATCGGCCACGTCTTCTAATTTTTCGTCTCCTATCTTTATATTCGCTCTTTCCTACTTTTTCTTCCCTTGCATACCAGTATTTTTGTTTTACTTTTATTTATTTTCATGCAATACTGTTTTGTCAATACCGCTTCCATTTTATTTAAAGCTATCTCTAATCCCTCCTTGCTGGATGCTAATACTGCTATATCATCTGCAAATCTAAGCATACTAATCTTTTACCCCTCTTTATCTATCTCTGCAGTTGTACTGTCTTTAATGATGTCGATCTTTGACGTATATTGAGGGAGGCGTCGCGTATAGAAAATGAATAAGAAGAGGTAATTTAGTTAATAATAAAAAGAACAAAATGTCAGTTATTCAGAAAATTTGAATAAAGATGATATTGACTTAGTTTGTGTTGTCTTTTTTTGCTGCGACCTTCCAATCCCACTCTAAGTGAACTAAAGTTCGGTTAAAACCGACCCTTACGATAGGAAAAGACAACACTAACGAAGAAGATATATATATTGGCGTATTTTCGTATCTATCTTCCCGAACTTTTTTTTACTACTCCTTTTCTGTAAAGTATCTACAATAAAAAAAAATTCCCCAACTCGAATTAGGTTTGTCTTTCTTGCGTTTAGTTTTTTCTTTAACTGCGTTTCGTTTACACTTGTCGCAAGTCTTTATCAGGGTTTTTCTCGACTACATTGTCGTTTTCTCATTTCCTTCTTCGATGTATGAATGTGTAAGCGCCGCTCCACCCACGAAAACGCGACTTGTTACAGCCATAGCGCCGGTATAAAATACATCGGTCCATACTGTCATCAGAACACATTTCTGAATCTAGTCGCCGTGGCATCCGCGATCGCTTCGCAGTTGGCTAAGCTACTTCGCGGCACGCGCTGCATTTCATCTCGGTAAACGTATCTGTAAAACAGCTCGCGAAAAACACGGCGTGTATATCTTAAAAACGTTTGAACTTTGCAACATTATAAAAAAAATCTTATTCGTTCTTTTTTATTACCACGTGTCTTGTTTTTTATTTGTTTTATACAGTTAGCGCTTTGATGATGATTTTGCACCTGTTCTTATTTATGATCGGGGTGAGTTTCTAGAAATCATTCTTAAATTAATATGAAACTTTATGAACTGTTGCTAGTTATATTAAACTGTAACTTACATAACTTCTTAGCTTGTTACGTTATGATTGTAAAAACAAAAATTGTTGCCTATACAAATTTGATAAGAATGTAATTAGATCAATCATAAACACTAGTGCTGAATTAATTTTGCTATTTTAATATTGTTTGGTTAGTATTGATCAGAATCCAGGTGTTGTAACTAACCTAACTTAATGTAATATAGAGTATCATCATAAGTCTGGTCTGGACACGCACCTCCACTCTTTCCTATCCTAAGCTAATCTTCCCCTTTCCCTAAAACTGTAACGTCGCACATCCTTAACTATTTGCGAACATTAATCTAATCTAGGTCTACCCCTACTCCTGTTAACTCCTGTTTCTGCTTCTAATATATCTCTAACTAGCCCTTCGTGCCTGAGAAGATGTCCTACCTACATTTCTCGCTTATTTCTTATCAAACGCCTGTAATAATCGACGTTTCGCACCCGCGCTAAACCGTCCGCATAAAGTGTAAAATCATCCGTGCTAAGAATTTATTCGATAATTGGGTCAATCGTGAAACTTTTATCTCTCAACCACAGAACGTACTAATTTCATTTACTATGTACTACACTAGGATTTTCTACCCGCTTACCTTGATCCGGGTACACACGGCTATATGAAATTTCCCTTTCATTTTGACTACGTATATAACTTCAGGGGATCAAATAAAACTGTTCAATACAATTTATAAAGCTTTGATTGTTATTTTGCATCAAACTTTATAATCATTACCGTTTTAATCATTTGCTTTGGGTTTAAATACGGAAGCCGCCATGATTTGTTTTGACTATAATTATTTAATTAATCTAATAAAATATGTATTTAAGGAAAGAAAACTTCGACTACTGCAAAAGGTGTTATGAAAAATATTTCCGCTTCGAAATATAAATGGTGCTTGCGGTGTTTCGTATTCCAATTGTTGGACAAAGTAAAAAGAGTAGTTTAGCTCTAGTTATAAAAAAATTACGTTCCCAATATTAATCATGCATTTATTTTTAACAAAAAAATACATACGTAGGTACTTATAATACCTATATAAATCTACTGCATTATTTGTCACGATTATTAAGAAACAACTTTCGCAAATATATTTAATTAGCAGACATAAACGTGTTTTTATATAAATCAATCTGCTCTTTGGTAATATTAAAATAAGTGCCATTATGCTAGTAATTGTGCGAAAATGAAGGAAACATGCAATAAATATGTATATAATATTATATATGTACTTGTTTTTGTTTTGTTTTTAATTTGCGGCAAACATTAGGACAACGGGGACATGGAGGGCATTTAGGAGGCCTGGTGGGACCCTCCCTGGGAGCCCAAGCGGGACGAGTACCGTTACTCCCATCGGAGCTCCCACTGGAGCTCTCATCGGAGTCCTCAGCTTGACTCGCACCAGGTTCCCCACCTTGACTCTCACCAGGTTCCCCACCGGGTTCCCCATCGGGTTCTCCACTGGGTTTCCCGCCGGGTTCCCCACCGGGTTTACCACCGGGTTCTCCTCCGGGTTCCCCACCGGGTTTACCACCGGGTTCCCCACCGGGTTTACCACCGGGTTCCCCACCGGGTTTACCGCCGGGTTTCTCACCGGGACACATACCACCGGGACAGATAGGGGGTCCCCCACCGGGTTTCCCACCGGGACACATACCACCGGGACAGATAGGGGGTCCCCCACCGGGTTNGATTTGATAGAGAAAAAACACGTTTAATTAAAAATTAAATTTTAATTACTAGTTTAATAACACCTTTTTTTGTTCGTATATGAGACTATTAAAACAAGACATGCCTATCATACCACCGGGACAGATAGGGGGTCCCCCACCGGGTTTCCCACCGGGACAGATAGGGGGTCCCCCACCGGGATGCCCTTGCCCACCATGACACAAACATTCACATATCTGGCTAAGTATTTCACATCTCTTGTTCCCTTTTGTTGTAGTGGCATCGTTTATCGATTCGTCACTTTTTATACGGCCGCTGAACCGTGATCCACTCCCGAATTTTGATCCTGATTCACTACCCGACATTGATCCAGAATCCGTCATTGGTGCGCTGTCCAACAATGCCCCATCACTCGACCCTCCCGATGACAACATATCACTACCTTTCGATTCATCAGAACCGATACTAGAACCGCTCACCTTATTAGTAACCCTAGCGCTTATAACAATTACCGCAACAGTGAGGAACAGGATCATTTGGAACAGCGTACGAATCTGTAATAAAAGTAAATTCAACAATTCATTTCATCATTCAAATATACTTAACAATTTAAAAAACATAAGTAGTGTTATAATTGCTATTGACATTGCAGGAGAATGGTTTTCTGTAGAGAGAATAAAATAAACAGCACAAATTTCGCATATGTAGTAGGTACTTGTTGTGTATCATTCAATAGTAAGGCCGTTTGCACACTCGACCACTCGCCATATCGCTACAATATCACTGCCGTAGCCGTATTTACACCGTTACCGCGGTATGTGCCCGCTTTTAGAGACGATAGCAAGTGGTCGTGTTCTCGCCTCTTGAATTATGCTCTCGCCACTTAATGCTCACTGTCGCCATTTGAAGTGCGCAGCGGCCACTCGAAGCGCGCAGCGGCCACATGAAGCGCGCAGCAGCAGTGTTCGGAACCGTACGATAATTATCGTACACATACGATAATTCTATGTCTACGTACGATGTATAATATCACATTATTATCGTACGCAGATTGTACGATAATTTTCATGCATTCAAAATTTATTTTATTCTTACCCTCTCAGACAATATCACGAAGATTTTTTTATTATGGGCGAATATTTTTTTTCTTTTTGCTCACAGCGCTGTAAACATTTTTGTTATTCGCAGTGTTAAATTTACATGGGGTAGAGGTAGACCTAGATTAGATTACTCTTCGCAAATAGTTAAGGATATGGGTTGTTCTAGTTTTAGGGAAATGCGAAGTTTAGCTCAGGATAGGAAAGAGTGGAGGTACGTGTCCAACCAGTCTTAGGACTGATGACCTTAAGATGATGATGATGATNGCTATAAACATTTTTGTTATACGCAGTGTTAAATTTAGAAGAACGTGCCTGCAACAAAAGAACGTTATCATGCTAGTATGTAGGTTTTTCCTCGGCAGGTAACATCCCTTCGTGTTGGTCACCAGATGGGTCGATGGTCTTCCCATCCACAATTTTGTGATTGTAGTCATGTAGTCACTAACCATAGCCTAAGGTCAAAAACACCCCACTAACATACCTCCACCCCCTATATCTTGTTATATTTAAGTATTTTTCTATCTATTATTGATTTTTAATTTAAAGGGTGGGGGTAGTTCAGGTCTGTCTCAAATGTAAAAAATATAGTACAAACAAGTTACGAAGCATACGCAGAAATATTGATATCACGATTCGTACGAGTAATTTATTAATTATAGTGATTTATTTTGAAAAGTACGATAATTTTGCTCCACGATAATTCTACGCTACTGGTACGACAGTTGCCTCGCTTCAGGTTGTGAACACTTGTTTTTTTCGTCGGAAACTTAATCACTGATGTTGGCCCCCGGTTGAACTGGGATGGCTTTGACAATTTTTAAAATGCATAATCTTATAAGCAATTGTAGCTATCTACAAACTGAATCGTACGTTTTAATATTCTTTCTTTTTCCCTAAAATTAGAATATGTCACATGCCTGTGTATTTGTGAACAGTAATCTAATGTAAAACGGTCTCAACCCCTTGTAACTCCCGCTTCTAATTCTAATATGCCTCTACCTTCCCTTCCTCCTAATATTTACTCCTGTATTCTTGCTCTTTATACAATTTTTAAATTATATAAGATCCATAAGATCCTATTATAAGCTTAAATAGATATTTTTTTAAGTAATCACAATAATTGTAATGAGTATTTCACTTACCGTTTTACTCATTTTGTAAAGTTCACTGAAAGCGAAAATTATTTAAAAACTAAAGCTAATTTCATTCGTTAAGTTTGTTAACTTTCATGAGCAAACTGCTGGAAATTAGATGTTTCAATCGAATTTATAGAGAAATATTGTATACGTTTTGTATCGATTGTTTAATGGATTGCTTAATATTCTTTTACATAACGTACATCCATTATCATTAGAAATTTTCGATCAAACAATGAGATTTGATAGAGAAAAAACACGTTTAATTAAAAATTAAATTTTAATTACTAGTTTAATAACACCTTTTTTTGTTCGTATATGAGACTATTAAAACAAGACATGCCAATAAAAATCGAATCAATCGAGTATGAGCTGGTAATAAAATAATTATTGCAATTTTGTTGATGTAGGTAAAGCTGGAAAACATCATCTATGACTTATAATTTCGAAATACTTTATTGGGAGTAAGAAATACGCAATGTTATTTATTGATAATTCTCTACCCTTCTTAATTCCATCTTTTCTCCTTCCCCTTCATCATTTCTAACCTTTAACGATCTTTTTCGTGCGTGTGCGTGTGCGTGTGCGTGTGCGTGTGCGTGTGTCTCGATTCTATTGTCTCAATGTCGTCGTGTTCTCCGTTTTTTCCCTCTTTCTTTAATCTTTCACTTTATTTTAATCGTCTATTAAAAATGATTAACGATGATTATTCGTTTATTTTGTTCAGTTTTTATTGCATTGCTTTACGTATAGCCAAAACGAAAACCGCTCCAATATAAACGTAAAAATTCACATCTATGAACTCTAGTACCTACTTGTTGGTTATTAAATCCATCAAACTCACTTTTGCTTCGCTTTGATCTTTACAAATTGAAATCCAAGGAAGTACACAAACGTTATATACCCATACATCTACAGAGATACCTATAAATTTTACCAAAGAAACTGTTAATGCTTGATCCTATAGCTTTAATATTTTTATAGTTCCTCGAAAGATATCAAAAAAGTAACATGTCTATTAGTATCTCCATTATATGTATATGTAATAAGTTTGCTTATATTGATATTGAAGAAAAATGTGCGGTAAAGTCAATAAATAATACTTATATGTAGATTAGTACCAGGCCCGCCGCTAGCTGTTTCGTCGCCCGCGTGCAATACCGATTATGCCGCCCTACGACTACTTACTCTGAGTCTTGTCAAAAAAAGGATAATTGATGTTTTCTAATTATGGTGGGGAAAAAGAAAAACAACGTAGATAATCGAAGATAAAACTTTTATTTTAAATAATTAAGTACTTATTATTTTTGTTTACTGATGTGTAAAACTATCTACTTAAATATTTATCTACAAAAATTTAACTCTTCTTGCCTTTACATTTGCGAAATCTTCTATCAACTTTCTTGTATCCAAACTGTCTAAAATTTCATGTTCAATTGAAAATATAGCTAAGCAACTTAGTCTTTACTGGAGCTTTGTTGATGTTAAATAGTTTTTGATAATTTTTAATTTTGAAAAGGATCTTTCACTGAAATCGGCAGTGTAAGTAATATTCTTAGCGCTATTGCTCTGTTCCGAATTGTTATTGATAAAAAGATATTGTAATAGGGTTTGTGGATCATTAGACTGCTTTTCTGCAAAATGCAACTTTAATGCAATGATTTCATTAAATAAATCAATATCGTCAATTCCTTATTCACTAGTTGAATCAGCTTTAAGTTTCAGATTTATATCTTTACAATGTTTCATTAACTCATCATTGGAATAATTAAATAAGTTATTGCTAAAAAAGCCAAATACGTCGGTAAATGTTTTTTACTCGTCGAAACTATCCTTTAAAGAAATTATTGTCTGATCTAACATTCTAAAATAAAAATATTTGATTTTTGGGTCTACTAAAACTTCATCACTGTGTTCATAGTGAAGTTGTGTCGATTTTTTTCTTGGACGAATTGTATTTATTACTGGAAAATCTGTTTCTACGATGAGTTCGTGAGCCACTTTGGAAGCTTCTGCTAACACCGTTTCAAAGTGTTCAGCCGTGTGATATTCTGTCAACTTATTAATCAACTTATTTGACAAATTTATGCAGATTTAAGTATTCATTGTTGGGCTCTGCATCATTTTGCTCAGAGCATCAATTTCGTTTAATTTACCATAATTACGATTCCTTTGCACTTCAGTTTTATAATGACGGATGATTCAATTATAATCACACTAGACAAGTTTAAATATCAATAATTTAGCCCAACCCCACCCCAAAAGAACTATTAACAAAATAATTGCAATTTAATGTGCCATCGTTACTATTTATCTACCATAGCACTGTTCGAATGCGTACAGGTACCTAACCTACCAATTGAAAAAGAAGTTCAAAAGGGATTCCCCTAACTTCGCCAGTCCTGGTTTTCATAGAATGACAGACGACGTTTGATATTGTACCCTAGTTTTAACGGATGCCAATAAATGACTGTATTAACGTCATTCGGTCGGATTTTTGTCCAAACTATGAAATATTTCTTATACTTAAGGTGGGGTGGGTATTATGACAATGATTTAAATTAAGCACGTAACGAGTCGCTTGATTTGCCGCCGCCCGTTTGCGGTGCACGCTCTGCACGCCCCCGCTTACGGCGGCCCTGATTAGTACCATAAGTTTCAATACGTACAATGTCAGACAACGTAGGGTGGAAAAGTGGTAGAGCCCTGATAAAACAACCAGTCAGTTGTCACTGTACTAGTGTGGGGTTAAATCGGCAATTCAAAAAGGATTAGTTATTAATAGGTGGTTTCTCTGGAGTACGGGTACGACTACGGTTTTCGAATCATTTTTCGTTTTGTTTATATCTAAATTTTGTATAGTTAGAATAAGGAAGAGGTCTGGCCAAATCGCAAAACTATTTAAGATTTCATAAAGTAGATACTGCGGTTTAGAAATCCTAATCGTGAAAGGTCCACACACTTAACCAAGGGTTAATTGCGGATAAACAATAATAAAATACAGATTTACTTATATTCAAATCCTTTTTGAAAATTAAAAAAGTCTAGTCAGTCTTCACTCACGTTTTCGCTTGTTATAACAGTTTGGATCGAGCTTGTTTGGAAAATGATTCAAATAAATTTTGTTTTTTTTCTCGTAATTATAAATTTTTAATCATTTAATTTCGGTGAATAATCTTTAGGTAATGTTAAATCCGTCACCCAGTTACCTGTATCGTCATTTAAATTTGCACATTCATTGGGAAACATTGAGATTGCCTCTAGTTGGTTATATTAACGTATTGGATACATCCGCTATAGACGATCATACACTTTTCTCAAAATTGAAAAGAAAAACGCATGTTGCTCTTGTTTTTTAAATACATTTAGTACCTAATACTTTACATACGTTTACGTTATTTAACTGTAATTTGTTAGAAAACGATTGTAGATATTACCCTTTCATAATTAACAGTAATAATAATAATAATAATAATATAGAATGACAGATCGGGATAGGAAGTTGTTGTTTAGACTTCTTGAAACTACTTCTACTTGAAACTTTGAGCAGACAACTACTTAGAGGAAGATTCAAGTCATTAATGGGTAATATGTACATTATTACCGTTCTTTTAATCGTTACACTAAAAACAATTAAAACGGTATTTGTTACTGCTAGTACTCGGATTATAACACAACATTATATTACATCGATTGATAAATACGCCAGAATCAATTTAATTGGTAATAAGAAGTTCTTCAAATGAAATGCTTTCTGACCATTTGTGCGATTGAGGTCGTCCTTCTTCGGTATATTCGTCACGTTGAAAGATGACCTTTCGATTATTGGTGTTAGAAGGGAAGGAACGTTTTTTAGGCCCGTGTTCGTTGCTAAGTCTCCTGTTAACGAATTGCGCCCTTTTCCGGGACTGTTGCAGAATTCTTTGAAGAAAACGTGGTGAATATTCTTCCTCCTCAGATACTTCCGCAGATTGCATTTCGGGCTGTGGTGGTGACGATGATTGCCCGAGCGTTTGCTGATGATGATATTGCACAGGTTGGTAAGGAGGTTGTAGCGTGAATGGCCGTTGAGGTGGTTGATGGACCAATGATCCCCGGGGTGGTGTTGATTGGGCAGATACCGATTCGGTATGCGATTCCTCGGAAGATTTGTGTCTATTGTTATTCCTGTGAGGAGAATGACGATGGTGTTGCATGACCATATAACCGTCTGGTACTTCAACCATGGCAGGCCTAATGGATTCATTAGGTCTGTGATATCCAAGAGGACAATCGTTGTTGACATCTTCTTCATATTTTGGTGCTTTTTGGCCATTGGAATCTCTGTTAATATATTTTAGACACTCCGGAGGAATGTCACCGTGCTTAATTTCGGGTGGGTTTACAGGATTATTTTCAGGGCGTTTTCCCGGACCGTTATCGTTTCCACTTGTGTCATTGAAATTGTTTGGATTGCCATTGTTCGTACTTCCACTTGGGTCCTTATAAGTATTTGGATTTTCTTCAGGAATATTGGGAATGCGACCGTTCGAATTTTCATCGGTATTCTGAGGAATATCGGGATATGTATCTTTCTGAATACATCCTGGAGGAATGCCATTATTCGCGTTTCTACTTGGGTTTTCAGGAACATTCGGAAGTTGTGGGGGAAAGTCGGCATCTTCATCTACATTTGGATTTTGAGGAGTATCGGAAACATCTTGAGAATCTTCTGGAGGAACACCAACATTCCCATTTCTACTTGGATTGTCCGGTGCGTAGGGATTTCCAGATACACTACCACTACCAAAAGCGTCTTTACAAGGGTCGTAATTTTGGGCCTTATTCCGATTGTTGAAGGGTGGAGACTGATCCATATCGTCGTTACTGATGGTACCCACATTAGAGCCCCGTTTGTTATGCGGTCTGTAATCTGTGATGGTCTTTCGCATAGGTCGTATGTTTTCAAATGCTGCACACAGCACACAATTTGCCAATAGTGTATAGCTCCAAATCTAAAAGATTTTAGTAATTTTCGTGAATTATTTTATTAATTTGGTCGAATGTAATTTAAAAACACATACCAATATTAATGTGAAAATTCATTAAAATTTTATCTACTACAAATCACCTCAAATTGATAAAGAAAAATTGTTGCTGCTGTCAAACTTTCGCCGGGGATCGAACCTGGGACCTTTGACTTTAGACACAAATGCTCTAACTATTATGCATGGGTCCCGGGTTCGATTCCCGGCGCGATCTGAATTTTCGACAACTTCTTTCACACATCTTCTTACACAACCTTCGTTCAAATTTCGTTTTAAAAATTTTAGTAATTTTCGTGAATTATTTTATCAATTTGGCCGAATGTAATTTAAAAAAACATACCAATATTAATGCGAAAATTCATTAAAATTTTATCTACTACAAATCACCTCAAATTAATGAGGAAAAATTGTTGCTGCTGTCAAACGTTCGCCGGGGATCGAACCTGGGACCTTTGACTCTAGACACAAATGCTCTAACTATTATGCTTGGGTCCCGGGTTCGATTCCCGGCGCGATCTGAATTTTCGACAACTTCTTTTACACATCTTCTTACACAACCTTCGTTCAAATTTCGTTTTCAAAATTCTAGTTTAAATAATCCAACTTGTAGATTCACAGATTATTCCGGATAAACCAACAAATAAATAAAAGACCTGTACTTCTTTATGCATGGATGAAGTTGTTTTACAAGGCTTTGAAAAATTACCTTTGCTACACTCGTGACCATCTTCGTAGTTCAATCTTCTACTGATTTTAAGTTAGTATGTACTTGTTTGCAACATGCACTTTTTGCAACTAGTGACTGCATACGGGCCAGAATAAATCTTTAAAATAGTCCCTTTGTTTATAACGAATTATGGCAACCTGTGTCAATAATAAAAGTAATTGGTTTATATGTATGCAATATAGGATACCTTTTATTACTTTCCAATAGGTCATAATAAAACACCATAAACCATTGAAGCACTAACTTGTTTTATTTAGAACAATACGAAACAATCATTGCTACATTAGATTTAACAGCAACGTTTTTATAGCATTTCCAAACGAACTAAATTAAAGTCAGATAGAAGGTGTCTTTCGCCAATTACATTCGTATAAAACTTTTATGGTGAAAAATTGAAGAAACAATTTAAACTGTTTTATTAGGTATTAATAAACATACTGCTGCAAACATACTATTTAACGAAAAAATAATCGATATAAGGTTTTTATACGAAAACGTAAACGATTCAAACGGTTGATCGAATATACAGTGGATTCCTGGTATAACGACGACGAAGGGACCGCTATAATTTCGCCGTTATATCCGGAAGTCGTTACAGGCAACCGTAAAGAGATACAGATACGTATGTATAGTTTTCACAAAATTTGTAACAGACGATTCATTAAGAAACAGTCGCTACACCCGAACTCGGCGTTACATCCGAAGTCGCCAAAGCCACATGAATTTTATACTAAAGTATTCTTTAAATTCAAGAGACTTAGATTTAACGTCACTATAGCAAAATGATCGCTATAAGCAAGGTCATAATAAATTAATTCCACTGTAATTGGAAAATGTCGCACTGGAACCCCTGGATATACATTTGACATTTTGCACAACATAGGCGAGCATTGAGACAGGGTTTTTTAAAATTCAACCCCTAAAGGCGTTTTCAAACACTGGTGTGTATCGATCAAGGCGCACCTCAAACCGTTGAGTCAGGAAATACTTACACAAAGGTATAAAATGAGTTTTCGAAATACCGCCCCTACAAAGGTGAAATGGGGGTATAATAGATTATACATCATTTACTTTCTCTAGCGATGTGCCCCTTCCAATGTCTTGGATTCGCGCTGGCAAAATCGTAGGTAGGGAGAAAAAAGCTCATTATACTCTCGACTCTTGTTCATTAAACATACGTTTTCATATAGTACTTGCCAAAAGTTTTGTTCAATCACGAATATTAGTGCGAGTCGAAAACAAGCGTTAAAGCCTTTAATATGTCTTCAAATATAAATAAACATCTCGTTGATATTTTCAGTAGTAAATGGTACTAATAACAGCACATTTGAGCAATGAAATTGTAGTGCATAAAATGGTAAATTTTTCCGTGCAGTACTGTACGGATTATACGCTCCTCACCGGTTAACAATTCGACCGAGAGTTGTCTCCTTCCTTTTCTGGCCTAGTGCTGTTTCTACTTTGCGCCAGTCAAACTGAAGGTAAACGAAGTATACCATCTAAAGTTTTTGTTCACTACAAGCGGATATTATTACACTTAGTGTAATGGTTTGTTGAATTGATGATATTAATATTTGATTGAAACTATTCAATTTGTTTGCTATATCAGCGTGCCCTCGAAATGTTCTCTTCTGTATAAGCGGGTACTATTAGATTTGCTACAGTAATTCGTTGAATTGATTGTTCGTAGGACACCTTCTCCAGGCATGAAGGGTTAGTTAAAGATATATTAGAAGCAAAAACAGGAATTAATAGGTCTAAATTAGATTATTTGAATTGATGATAGATGTAATTGATTGATTTAAGAGAGAACGACAACAAAATTTGTTTGTTATATCAAGTTAATGCCAAAAGCTTCTGTTTACAACAAGTAGAATCTGTTACGTTTGGTACAGTGATTTGTTGAATTGATAATATAAGTAATTGATTGATTGAGAAGATAACAATAAAATTTAAACTGTTAACTATTGGGATCCGTCAAATGGGCATACAACATCTGGTAGCAAAATTTATAACTCGAATGAGGGAAAAATTTACATAGGAACTGTGCACACAAATTGGAAAATTGTTTATTAAAATAATAAAACACGTTAAAAAAGTAAAAATTTTTTTGATGAAGGAGTCGACGAAATTTTCTTCTAAAGTAAAATCAAATAAAAAGTTAATATGTTCAGTGAAAAGCTGCAATAGCACTTCAGACATAGATCTTCACTCTTCACCTACATTAACTACTTTCCAATAAAAACTAACCGTTTTATATATGTAAAAAATATATTTGGAAAATTAGAGAAAAAAGTAAACTAATAGAAGCTTGGACGAAAGCAGTAGGTATCAAAGAAGTGAATTCCGGAATAAAAATTTGTTCACGTCATTTTAATGCACATGATTATATTTCAGCAAGTATTTACCATCAGCCATAACCTTAATATAAAGTATAAAGTGAGAAATTATTTATTCCTGTGTAATTGATTTAACACAATTCTAATGATACGATATAAGTATTTTGAGGTTAAGAACCTACCTGCTGCAACACAATAATGTGTTTGCAACGTTCTCTTAAATCGGCTTTGCACGTGCAAGTCATTGATATGATATTGCTTAAATCACCCAGAATCACCTCACCAATTATATAACGTGAATCACTTTTTAAATCCGAAGTTTGTAAAAAGTAAGCAGTAAACTTGACAGAATTTGATGGCTAGCTTCCGGATTTGTTGTTTCCGAATTTTATAATGTGATTGGCATTAAAAACACGCTCACCTTCAACGAAATTTCGTTTCCGAGGCTTTTTGTCAGCCCAATCACATGTTGTGTCAATACTTATCATTTTATCGTAATTTAAAAACTTGGAAATTGCACGGTACTCTATAGGAACTACGATAAATGTTCCCTAATCGTCGCCATGTTTATAGGCTCCTCCCATTTGACGGATCCCCATATCAAATATCCGATTTATATTTTTCAAGACTCTAATTTCGTCAATAAAGCAACAATAGTTCGGGAGTGAACTTTTATTCATTACAGTGCGACGTTTACACCGTTAATTTCAGTTATCATCAGGCTAAAAAAACGAACTTAAGTCACTATTTCAACATCAAATCTAACTTTTGTTGATTTTTTTAAGCTTCATGATGACCGAAATTGATGGTTAAAAATAAATTATTATACAACAACCAACAAAATTAGATTCCTTTTTACACATAAATATCCGATTGTTTGCTTAATTTCTTATTCATTAGAACCAGAGTTCATTATATTTGAAATAATATAATTAGTTCATTTAAGGGAGTGCTAAAAATTGCAACAGCAGGAACATAAATATATAATTAGTGAATATTTTGAATTAAGTACAAACAAGAATGAGCAATAGTAACATACATTAATATTATAATAATAATATTATTATTGTTTATTAGTTATGTATTATCATCACCAGTTCCTAGTATCCTTGTCTTCATCGAAGGTCACTAAGCAACGCCATCCGTCTGCAACTTTCCAACATCTTCTTTCAGAGTCTGCGACTATCTGGGACCTGGGGTCCTTCGGTTTCTCACCGTACATGGTCAGTTCTAGGGCCATGCCGTCTTTCTTCTTGCTGTTTCCCTTCTCGACGGACCTTTTGAGGTTGGCACTGTCCTTTTCCCTATCACTTTTTTCATTGTCCGGATACGAATCCTTGCGACCTAAGAAAGTCTTTAGAGCGGATTGTTCCTCATTGGGCTTTCCTAACTGAAACAATTGAATCCGAGAAGGTTTACTGTCAGTATTTTCAGAGCCACCGTAATCTCCTTCAACTACACCAATAAGTAAAGAATTATTATCAACCTCTCGTATCTCCTCTCCACCGTTTAACGGTACTCCAACGGTCATTACAACCAACGTCATTACGCCAAGCCACATGTAGACTAACTGAAACAGAAAACTTGTTTGATAAGTGCTCTTATCAAAAAACAATAACGTACAATTTGATCTAATCTTGTGCTTTTATATTTGAGTCTAAACTCGTCATATGTTGGAGTCACTTTCGAACGTTTCGCCAGCACGAGTAGCGAGCTTCCACATCCAGCATCGAATATGGGAAGACGTTTGAAGAAGCTCGCTACACGTGCTGGCAAAAAGGTTAAGTTAGGTTAGGTTAGATTAGACCCGTATCAGAACACCACATGAAACACTTTAAATTTCCAAGTGGTTAATAATAATAATTAATGTGAAAGTTCGCACTCTTAATTTTTCCACTATGAATTACCTTAAATTAATGATTCTTGACGGTTAGAGCATTGGTGCATAAGCCAAAGATCCCGGGTTCTATTCCTGGCGAGAACAGCAAAAATGTTTCTGCATTAATATGAGGTAATTTATGGTAGAAAAATTAAGAATGAACATTCTCATTAATATCAGTTCACCTGCTAGCCACGAAAGTCTTTACCAATCGTGTAATTTATTTTTCAATTTTGTTACATTAAATGGACAGATACAAAATATACAGTACGAGAACTGGATGATTTCTGTGTCGAGAAGCTGTAATATAGTCACGGAAAGATTGTAGTTACCCCGAGTTTTTGGTGGATACTGCCAATAATTGGGAAAATACGGTATTCATTTTATGAACTAGACAAATAAACGCCCAGTTAGTAAAATAAAATATTATTGAAACAAAATATTATTGAACTATCTAGATCTTGTTCACGAAATGGACAATTTCTCACAAAGGGGGTGTGACATGTACAGAAAACAAATCTAATTAACGAATGTGATTGCACCCTTGTCATATTTATAGTTCACAACTGCTCTGTGAAAACTACAATTCAAAATAAATACAGAAATGGACTTTTTGAACATAAAATAGTAATATTTGTATTACATGTCTGATTATTAAAATGTCAAATTACTGTAGTACTAACCACTTTAACTAACTTAAATAAAATTTTTTGCAAGAAGTCAAAGCAAATGAAAACTGCGAGTTTTGAACTGGTCTGAGAATATATGTACATGCAAAAAAATGCATAATGATTTTTGCAAATAAATGCCATGTTAATTAATCTGGGATTTTGTATGATTTTCATCATTTATTATCAGAGGAACCAAATAAAATTTCTAGTTTATTAGAATCTTTAAAAGTGTTCACCAAAACAAAATTTTAATACTTCTTGATGATCACAACAAACCAAAAACGTAACATAATCTAAATAATAAATGATAAATTTCAAAATCCATGTTTGTGATAATAGAATTAATTTTCGAACGTTCGAGTAGATTATTACCTTAAAGGTGAAGTAAAAATACAAATTGAAAAATAAAATTAAAAATTCTGCGATGAAAACAAAATTATTTACTACGTATAATAACCTATGTTATGTCAATCGTTTTTCATTGCTACTAAACACGTAATTATGTAAAATAATTTATATAGTGTGTAAGTATACAAGTCGAAAGAATTCCCTGAAAACGATTATCATGTATACGTTACTTTTCATTTATCAGTTAGAAATCAGTTTCATTGCCTTCACGCGTGTATCTCAAAAATTTTTATTAAAATTTTGACGACAACAATTCGTTTCAAGAAGATACAATTATCTATATACATCAATGAAATGAAGTTTATTGTTACTCTATATTAAGATTAGATTTCCTTAGCCTAAAGAATTTCACACAAATGGCGCTATTCCTTTTTTATATTAAATTTATTGTGCACTTTTATTTTAATATAAAAATCGGTATTCAATGCTTGGGTTTACACCAAAGTAAATATTAAAATCAGAACTCACCTTCATATTTGAATCCATGACAGGGTAACCTATGTAATAGTAGTTTCTACAGGTGCAGCTATATTCACTGTAGAAATGGTGTGCGCCAAATAATACTAATTATTAATTTGTTTAATACTTATTTCGACCTTTAGATCCTATTATTTTTCTTAACAATGGTTACAACTGTTAATTACTTTCTTAATTAACGGAAAGTTCAATTATACAAAAATTTATATTGATTTTCCCAATGAAAACTGCTTACCTATTAAATGAATGTTTACCCAATTCGTTTTACGGTCGATTAATCAAATTTAGCAGGACATTTGTTAATTGGACGTTTAAGAAATGTACAAGAAAAACCAACAAACTGCATGTGAATATCATACTTTGTAATTTTATTAAATTATTTTCAATGAAACACAAACAGAGGCGAGGCAGACCTATAAAGTCATTGCGAGACTCCGGGCGTGTAGATCTTTTCGAGGCCCTTGTCTTTGTGGAATTAGTTTTAATGATGATACTTGAAAAATGCAAAGTTGTTAATCAATTAATGTATAGTTTTGAAACTGTTTATTGGAAATTAATAAACAAACGCAAAGATAACAAATTATTAAACATGGTAAACTAAAGTACATTAATGTCAAAAGAATCAAATGATGCCTCCAGCTTTTTTTAAAGCTAATTGTAAGAAATTCAAACAAACATTAGTACTATTCGTACCCAATATTTTTATATTTGGATTATTGCACGAATACGCGAGGCCCCTGCAAGAACGAAGCCCCAAGCGCCCCTAAATGCCGCCCCTTAAAAAACTTCATATAATAAATTCAAATATGGTTCAAGGATAATTCCCAATTGATAAAGAAATATACATGTTTCGTTTTTAAAAATTAAAAATGGGAATTTTGGTGTAATTTTGGTTGTACATCAGCGCGTCGCAGGTAGCTCCGTCAGAACACAGACCAACTTTTACCTGCTGTCTTAATAGTGCCTTTTAGAAAATACTACAAATGGCGCAGTAAACGCCATCTGTAGAACGATGCTACATTTTAGGATTACGTACGCTCCAGCAAGGAGAAGAATGTTACTTAACATTCAAATGTGGATTTTCCATTACAAATTGTCTCTTTAATTCAAATTGCTATTAATTTTCTTCGGAAAATTTAGCCGCTGCGATGGTCAAAGACTCGAGATAAATTTTCACAGCAACACTCAATATGAACGAATATGGTATTTATCGTATTCCTGTAAATTATTTAAAAAACCCACATTCGAATATACAGTATTCCATTTAAAATAAGAAAGTTTGTTTTCTAATATTCTCAAAATTCAGATTAGTTTTTTGGACACCCTGTAGAATTTTCGAACAATTATTACATTACACCAGCATGGTTGACACAATAAAAATTTAGTTAAATAAGGTGCGTTATTATTGACTGTACAAAATTGTTTTTGAAAATTTTTTTCTAAAAAAAAATTGCAGATAGGTAGTTTATTTCCTAAAGGGTAGATTTTTTTAGATAGGTTCTTGTTAAACTTCCCTTTAAATCAACAGAGAATTTCAGTGATATAATATGATGCAGGGTGTTCCATTTTAAATAACAATATTAATGCCTACTTTCAGTATAACCGGAAGTGAAACATGAAAGTAGAAAATAAATAAAAATAAAACAATAATATTCGTATGCAAGGGAAGAAAAAGTAGGGAAAGAGCGAATATAAAAATAGGAAACGAAAAATTAGAAGTGGCCGAGTTTAGGTATCTAGGATGTCAGATAAGTCAGGACGGAAGGAGCAGTAGGGCTATAAAGCAGAGGATAGGGCAGGGTCAAGTTGCCTCCAATAAAAAGAAGTCACTTCTATGCTGGCCAACGATTAATTTAGAAATTCGAAAAAGGTTGTTAAAACTGTATGTTTGGAGCACGGCGCTGTACGGGTGCGAAACATGGAAACAAAAAACGGTTAGAAGCGTTCAAAATGTGGTGTTACAGGCGAATGATGAGGATACCGTAGAAAGAGAAGGTTGGAAATGAAGAGGTATTAGAAAGAATAGGAGAACAGAGGACTCTATGGAAGTCAATAAGAAATAGGCGAGAGTTATGTTGGTAGGACACCTTGTCAGGCATGAAGGTCTAGTTAGAGACATATTTGAGGCAGAGACGGAAGTTAAGAGGGATAGAGGTAGACCCAGATTAGATTACTGTTCACAAATAGTTAAGGATGCAGGATGTTCTAGTTTTAGAGAAGTGCGAAGATTACCTCAGGATAGGAAAGAGTGGAGGTGCGTGTCCAACCAGTCTTAAGACTGACGACCTTATGATGATGACATCTTTCACACGAAGGTCTTCCTTGGTAATCCGTGCATACTCGTAAATAATAATAATTATGTATATTTATTTAAGCAATATTTTCGATTGCTTATATAATTAATATTACCATGAAGTGCTACCCCTACTGTATTCAAATCATTCCGCTCGCAAACTAGAAACTCGCAGTTAAACTTCTTCTGTTGAATTTCCGTTAGCTATGCGCGCGCAATTTCCGTTGCCTCCTAAAATCCCAGTCTTAACGCGCTAGAAAGAGTATGACTTTAAAAACTATCGTAGGTAATTAAAATATTTATTTCACAATGTATGTATCTATATAAGTTAATACGTTTAACAGCAAGGTGAATACCTAATGTTACAAATAATGATTTTGTTAAAAATAATAATTAATCAACGCAATCCTCAACTGGTGTCGTTACTAAACATTGCCATCTGCCATCAACTTTCCAACAGTTCTCTTTGTTTTGCATCCCTGCATTGTTCTCGCAGCAGCAATCACTTGGTGCTGGAGGTTCCATTTTTAGATGTAGATCAAGTATCAAACTGCCAGTACCGATCGGTGTCTCTACCTGGTAATACCTGGATGTTGGGTCGTCGTCATGTTCACGATACGTTTTTCTAGAAACCCTTTGTTTATCCTCGGAATCAGACCTGCCAACTGGCATGTCTATCAAACGGTTCTTTTCTATCATGTTAATTTCTTTTACGTTCGGATTCATTTCCATCGGCTGTTGCATGTTATTGTAATTTCCCGATTTTGATTCTTTGTGTAGATTTCGTATTATTTGCATCGTGTCTTGATGTTCCCTATTTTCCCCTATGGGAGCGTATGTCGCGCCGCTTTCCCTTTCGTTATACAAGGACGAAGGCTTCGACTTTCTGTTTATCATATCACCTGATAGTGGACTAGGATTTGCCGAATAGTACTGGAGTAGTAGTGCCCATACTAACAGAATCTGAAAGAATCAAGAAATGAAGTCGCAATAGTAGTACCACACTGTACAGGAATTTTTTGTTTTGTTAAGTAACAAATATTCTTAAGACTAAATCCTGTACTTCTCCCTTCATCCTACTCTTTCCTATCCTGAGCTAATCTTCGCATTTCCCTAAAACTAGAACAATCCACAACCTTAACTATTTTCGAATAGTAATCTAATCTAGGTCTATCTCTACTCCTCTTAACTCCTGTTTCTGCCTCTAATATGTCTCTGACTAGACCTTCATGTCTGAGAAGGTGTTCTACCAATCTATCTCGCCTATTTCTTATTGACTTCCATAGAGTCCTCCGTTCTCCTATTCTTTCTAATACCTCTTCATTTCTAACCTTCTCTATCTACGGTATCCTCATCATTTGCCGACACCACATTTCGAACGCTTCTAATCTTTTCTTATCCGCCGCGCCCACCTTTAACAACCTTTTTAAAATTTCTAAATTAACCGTTTGCGAGCATAGAAATGACTTCTTTTTATTGAAGGTGACACGACCCTGCGCTATCCTCTGCTTTAAATCTCTACTACTCCTTCCGTCCTGACTTATCTGACTTCCTAGATATCTAAAATCAGCCAGTTCTTTCGTCTCCTATATCTGCATTCGCTCTTTCCCTACTTTTTCTTCCCTTGCATACCAGTATTTTAGTTTTACTTTTATTTATTTTCATACAATACTGTTTTGTAAATACCGCTTCCATTTTATTTAAAACTATCTCTAATTCCTCCTTGCTAGATGCTAATGCTGCTATATCATCTGCAAATCTAAGCATACTAATCTTTGGTCCCTGTGTATCTATCCCTTACAGTTGTACTGTCTTTCATAATGTTGATTGCGTCTTCGATGTACAGATTAAAGATGCTCTAATAACAATAGGAATTACATTTATGGTAAAATATTCGTTTTATAAAATCAATCCGAAACTGTAGAACCCTCTGGACAATTAAAAAACCATAAAAAAGATAATTTATTAAAAAAACTCACCTTGTTAAAAGTCAACGTCATAGTTTTCTTAAGATGTCGTAGATAAGTAATGTTTATAGTGCGTCCTCTCAAAGAAGTCAAATGTTAACTAAAACTGCACTAAATGAACGAATTCTATTTTAAGGAATTAATGAGACGATGTTAATTATTCCTTTTAACAATAGCTTGCCACCACTAATTAATTACTGATTGTCGGATAATTGCAGTAAATTCTCCTAATTATAGTCACACCACGTTTACATACTTCAATTTTTAAATAGTTATTATATCTATAACTCATCATTGTAACAGTGTAACAAGTACACCAGCAAACATATTATATGCTTTATAATCAACAAAGTTTCATTAAAAATTATCGATGAACAAATTAATGAAACCGTTAAAGCTCAAATAATAGGTTTTGAAATGCTATTATTTAAGGTTGCGACTGGCAGTTGTTAATTTGTACTTTTCTCGCTTTAATTGTAATTAATTTTGCATTGGAATGGGATTATTGTATGCATTTTCACATTTCATTCTTCTTTCTGGACTCGTACTATTTTACTAAAGTTAATTTTGCACAAAAAATAGTAACTAATTGTACGAAACACATCGACGAAATTTCATTTGGCGAAACTATTAAACATTCATAATGAAATAAAATAAGAGTCTCAAATGAAAAATTCTAGTTACTTCATTTTTTTTAACCGCGAAGAAGCTCGCAATCTTAAAATGGTGAAACTTTTTGAAGTGAAACTTCTTTACACACGGTAGGGTAATTTCGTTTTATGCGAGTTGCTATGTAACGAAATCATGCAACGCATTTCTCCCGCTGTCTGTCCCTATTCATGCTTAGATCTTTAAAACTACGCAATGGATTTTAATGCATTTTTTTAAATAGATAGACTAATTCAATAGGAAGGTTTATATGTATAATACATGCATAATATAGTAGAGAAACACTGATAATTTTAGAGGTTTGTTTTTCGCTTACATTACAAACGGTGGCTGAACCCTACGAGATAGATCAAAATAATATACTACAGTATTGTAGAGATCTACAAAAAAGTCCGGGATGGTATATGTCTATCTCTTAGGGATAAACTACAACAACCAGTTTTTGTCCTTTACTTTTTACGAGAAATAATGGCTTATTTACGAAGCGATTTTAAGTAATACAGCAGGATCCTTTTCCAATTAAGTACTTTTAAATACATTGTGCATTTAATATAGATCAACATGGCCCTTTACAGCAAGTAATTTAAATGAATATTTTCGAAGATATGACAGACTTAAAATGCAGGGACATAGCGGTTGCGGCGGTACCGGCCGGTTTATATTGTCTAATAACAAAAAATCTTTGATTGTTGTACATAAAGACATTCTATAGTATATTTACTATCAGCATTGCACCCGTGCTAAGCATAGTGTACAAATAATACCATTAAACCAATTCCTTAACCCCTATCCCGGCATGTTTGTGTGTTTGAAGAAGTTTCACTTCAGTAGCGTGTTGTATAATGACACGTTGTATTTTTTTTTATTTTTAATACTTAACAGCTTCATTGGATAAACTTTTGCAGTTATGTTTCGTGCTTGGTTTGACTGATTTGTTTTACAATTTTACATTATTCAAAGCATTTAATTTGCATTAAAGGTCGTGGAATACTTAATACGCTACATATTTCTTTTTTATCTCGGTATCATCGTATCATTAGACCTAATGGACAGTCATTTTGTCCAAACCATTAACTTCTTGTACAGCTACTTGTTTTCCTGTGTTTCGGCCCCAGAGGAAATGCTCCATTAGACTAGAAAAGGGCATTAGTCTATGAAAATGTTGATGGTGAGATAGAAAAGAATCGACCCACTCGTATTATGGTAATGTGCCACACAAAAATAAATAATCCAAAAAGGCCTAACATTCTAACTGAATTAGTAACATTACCATATGTGTTAAAAAAAGAAGAATATAGTAAAACTTTTATGAAACTTTTTTAATACGTTTTTTTGAAATGAACCAATAATAATAAATAGGCACTAAAAGAAGTTACTTCATTTTGATTCTGCTGAATTAGATGACTAAAACCCTTATGTGAAATTAGAAAAAACTACGACAATATTACGTGGTGACAAATTGGTAAAAGCTTTCGCGATCAGTGGGTGAACTGATGCTGTCCTGTCTGCACGCCGTCGTCGGTTCGAGCTGCTAGTAGGAGTTTTGAACTTCTTCAAAGGTCCTTCGATGTAGGAAGTTTTGGCTCGTTTTCTATTTTTGCCTATTCCAATAAATGGATCAAATTTGCTCAATTTCGACCAAAAACAGCATCGCATTAACATCGCTAAGGGGCTGTTAGACTCTGTCCGTGACGACCCAAATTTGCTCCAGAGGGTCATAACTGGTGATGAATCATGGATTTATGGTTATGACGTGGAAACCAAAGCTCAATCATCCCAATGGAAGCTTCTGCACACGCAAAGACCGAAAAAAGCGCACCAATTTAAGTCGAATGTGAAGGTTTTGCTTACAGTTTCTTTCAATTGCAGGGGCGTGGTGTATCATGAGTTCTTGCCACAGGGTAGAAGGGTCAATAAGGAATATTACCTGCAAGTTATGCAGAATTTGGCGAAACAATCCGCCAGAAACGCCCGGATTTGTGGAAGAACAAAAATTGACATTTACACCATGATAACGCCCCTTATGCTCATACATCGTTGCTTGTGCGTGAATTTTTGGCCAAAAATAACACACTAACAATGCGGCAGCCACCGTATTCCCCAGATCTGGTCTCTTTGACTTTTTCTTGTTCCCGAAACTGAAGAGGCCCATGTAAGGGAGACGGTACTCTACGATTGAAGAGATAAAGACGGCATCGAAAGAGGAACTGAACAAGATCACAAAAAATGATTTTTTGAAGTGCTTCGAGAATTGGAAAAAACGTTGGCACAAATGTATAATATCTGGTGGGGATTAAACAGATATTCATGAATAAATTAATAATTTTTGAAAAAAACACAAAATTCGCGATACTTTTTGAACAGACCTCGTAGCACATGGCTCGAGTTGGAGCGCAGGATCGGAACTAGTACCTCTGGCCTCGGCGGCCGCCGCTGTGATGACAATACGGCACGGCGATATTATTTAAGTACTTATCTACGTAATCGAAAACATTGTTTAAATAAATACATAGTAATCATGTTACGAATTTAGACATTCTTTTCGCCATAGTAATCCCCGGTGAAATACAAGGAAATTTCAGTAACAAATTAGAGAATAAAAAAAAAAAAAAATGCTAACGCTGATTATTACTAATAAGAAAAGGGACATTTCACTAATGCGTTTCATTTGACGATATATGAGCCCCCTGACCCCTATTGTGTTATCGTGGATAAAACAGGGTACCCTTGTCTCTAATTAACGTTTTCTGAAAGCCCTGGAGAGTTTAACTTCGTTCAAATTGAATTTGTATAGTTAATATTAGCGAGCCATGCAAACGAAGCACTGTAAGCATGTGATTTGCAGGTTGTAGTCAGGAATCAAGTTACAGTCCTCTCGGGGGCACCGGGTTATTTAATTAGTAACTATTTGTGCACTAGTACACGATGGACTCTGCTCGCCAACTGTCATGACCTAGGGCAGATGCTCGCTTGTTTTCATTATTGTAAACTTGTATTTTACTGATATATATGCATTAGTTCGTTTATGCCAATTCTGATAACCATTTCCTACAAAAATTGTAAAAAAACTAACTTTCGCCTTTGACCTTTTCAAAATAAGAATGATTGTTTCTCGCTTGGATCGTTACATCAATCAATAATAAAATCAGTCGCGCGTAATACAGAGTTTAAAATTCTTGGAACGACAATCAAGTTAAATCGACAAACCTTAGAACTTTTGAAAACTACCCCGATCCTATTTTTGAATATTTGTACGACGTTCTGGTGGAGGACCCTGGCTTTTTAATATAAATATAGATACATTTAGCAAAAAAAGGACTTCTTGTTCAACACCAACGACAAAATAATTAAAAATCATTTATGTTAATTACTGTTTTCTTTAAAATTCAGTAATTACAGTAGAATCCGCTAGAGTCCTACAAAGCATAGTCTTAGAAACTAAACAACTTTCTATTTCGGTTAGTTATTTAGTTTAATAGAGAGAAAAACTACAATTTGTATATATTTATTAACAGAAAAAAAAACGATGAATTGTAATATTAATATACATAAGAAGGGTCAGAAAAATGAGCGAAAATGTTATTATTAATCATTTGGATCACTATAGCCGGACATGATTCCTTGAGATTCAGTCATAATAAGCGGTGTCATTTTGAACGGAGTGATTATATCCAAACTTTCCTATAGAGAACTTAATATGAAAATCAATCTTGACATTGCAATTACTTCATTTGCGTTAGATATTGTATTTTAGTAATTTCTAAAATTATCTGAAGTGGAAATGAAGTCAATAATTTTTTTTTTGCGTACGTTATCGTCAGGCGGGGGGACTAACAGTTCAGACATTAGTCTTAATCAATGAACACACTTTCAAAAATTATCCATGTGGAACGTTGTGGTTTTCTTTCTCCTTCCTTCCATTTCCAATATTTTGATGCCAATTTGGGTTCCTAATGTTCCTTATTTAAAATTCTTTGAAATCCATACCATTATCTGATACTCATCGAAAATTTTAACTTATTATATTTCATTTACTTTCTGTAGCGATGTGCCCCTTCCAATGTCTTGGATACCCGCTGGCAAAATCGTAGGTAGGGAGAAAAACGTTCATTATACTCTCGACTCTTGTTCATTAAACATACTTTTTCATACAGTACCTGCCAAAAGTTTTGTTTAATCACGAATAGTAGTGCGAATCGAAAACAAGCGTTAAAGCCTTTAATATTTCTTCAAATATAAATAAACATCTCGTTGATATTTTCAGTAGTAAAAGGTACCAATAACAGCACATTTGAGCAATGCAATTGTAGTGGATAAAATGGTCAATTTTTCCGTGCAGTACTGTACGGATTATACGCTCCTCACCGGTTAAGAGTGTGGCCGAGAGTTGTCTCCTTTCTTTTCTGGCCTAGTGCTGTTCTTTTCTACTTTGCGCCGGTCAAACT